TATAACCGTTCAGCGAAAATGAAACATGGTTTTGCGTTCCCTACATGCGTCCCTACAATATGCACAAAACCGTTTTGAAAAAGCGCACCTTGCCCTGAAAGACCTCCCTTGTAGGCGCAGGCCTCCACCACCGATTGCACGTTGACTTCTTCCTTTTCTTGATCACTATTCAAGCACTCCTTTCCGCGGTGGGCAGAGCTCCAACCGCCTTCGGATTCTCATCACAAAACCGGCATTTCAATGCCATCAATTTTTGTGAGCTTCAGGTTGCCTTCGGAAAAGGTACTAGTTGTCGACACAGTCCTTCTCGTTCTCCTCCATTTCGCCAACCCAATGCTCAGCTCGGTACCACTTGCATTGTTTCGCGAGCTGATCCGCACCGAATTGAAGTTGGAAGGGAATCCTCTCGTTAGACCATGATGTTAATTTACCCATAAATCACATTACCCTTGAGACCATCGCTCAGACAAGAACCAGAAACCAACAGCAAAAATTTTAGCATGTTGTTTTTGCAAGAAGTATCGAAATACCGGAAAGGGCTGCCTACTATTCAATTCAGGCCGGGACAATGTCTGTCACAAATGCTAGCGCACGGAAACGCTTCCACTTTGGTTTAACGGCATATTGCCTGTCGAGAACTCTTTTTGTGTTGACCTATTGACTTATTCTACCGAATCCTCATCGTTCTATTGCCATCTTAGAAGAAGAAGTTCCATGAAAATGAGCCTGTTTTTAGTATTTGCGAATGAAGTTAGATTAGAATCGGACACACAGAACGAAACAAAAAGTGATTAGGATACTAAATGGGCCAGTTACCCACTTATTATATCTCTATGAACATAAATATCTATAATAATCAGTAATGTGAAGTGATTCCCTGATCTATTAGTAGAAAGGAGAGAATTACTCACCATACTAGACGGACTGTCTTCGAGGTTGAATGTTATGGATGAATAGCTTGAATTTTGATTTTATTCATTGAACAAAGAAAACGTAAGGTCTAGTAGGAGTAACAGAATAATTGAGCGGCAAGGTCATGAAACTGCTCGTTTAACACGGAGCGAACTGTGAAATGGTCGGCAATGTTCCAGTAAAACCTGTTCATTTGACATTGGAGGACCCTATCATTGAACACTATCGATGAGTATCGCATAAAGCTGCCTGCAAACAATGCGAACCTGAAAAATGGGTGGTAATTGGCTTCGTATTCTTCATTTTCGGCGAATTGCCATGAAAACATTCCATGCCACGGAAATGAGCTTAGGATTAAAAATAACAAACGACCTTGGTCAGAACAAGAAGTTGAAAGGTCGTTCTACTAAGTCCCGAGTGAATAATAAGGGACACAACCTCATTATCAATTGAGCGACTACTTTCGTGACTCAAGATGAGCTAGCAATTCAGGATTCGGATAAGCGCACGCACCTACGCTCAGTGAACGCTCACATTGCGGTACCTGTGTCGCTCGCTCTTTTCTCATTGTGTGTATGTAATTCTGTCGCTTCTGCCGTTCAGAATCTCTAGATCTATTTCGCTCCAGGAGTCCCTTACCTAATTGAAAAAGAAGGGCTTTACTGACAATTAGACCAGTCCTGCTCACCCACTATCGCGCGCACGTCAAAATAGGCTACAGTAAAACAGCCAGCCTATTGTTTGTTTTGTACACAACCCAGCATTCTTGTGAAACATTCGCAACGTGAACTGTGGCGGTAGCAGTTAACAAAAAGCTTTCAGCCTCGCGGTCATTGCCGATATCGGCTAACCGGCTCAACACGTTAGACGTGTGAGTGCTGAAAGCTATGGTACGTATACCATGAAAAGCTGAGTTGGAATGAAATGGTGCCCCGGTAGCGTAACTGGTAGCGCACTTGCCCGGAAAGCGAGAGGTGCGGGTTCTAGTCCCGCCTGGGGCGAAAGTTTTGTTCACAACCCAGCATTCTTGTGAAACATTCGCAAGGCGAACTGCGGCCAAAAACAGCAGTTAACAAACAAAAACAAGTCAATTGATGAGTAGATCTGCTTCAAAAAGGACAACCATAAAAATCTCGATTTAACTCGCTACTTGTTACCGAGTTGGTATTACTGTAAATGTAAAGGTATTATGTTGTCCGTCGGCAAAGGAGTAAGTTATAACGCACTTAATGAATAAAACCAACCGCCACCAGAATCGCAGCTCTCAACTGACTGGTTAAGCTAGATCATGTTGCGTCGGCGCAACTAGTAACTAATAATGATGAGTACAGTGTTTTCAGAAGCTGTTGGAGAAAAATGTCGATCTACTGGCGATGCACAATAGCACGGACGACTTGAGGAATTTGACTTTTCATACTTTTCTTTCCTGTTTCAGAAATTCGGTATACTAGCCCGATCATAATAGTTCCGGTTTATCAGTCCAACAACACTCCAACTTCCTGAATTCACCTGGTTAAGTGCACTATTCACCACAACAGTTTAGAAGTGTCCTCTACAAATCCGCAAGTGAATGAATAGTCTTCCCACAAAACTACGCAACCTTCGACGTCAAGAATCAGTAGATGTCTCCTTTTAGGTGGTCGCCAACATCGTAGTTTTTCTCGTTACCCTAGACGGTCGTGACGTGCACTTGATGAAGCGTGCGCTCGCCAGCTGTGCAACACAGGTATGGTTTATTAATGCTCATCGAACAGCAGGTCAACGGCTTAATCGTAGTGTCTTCGTATAATGTATGCATACAACAAATTCGTAACCCGCCTTTCCGCTTAAAACTAGGGTGCAAAGAATGAATGGAAGCTGCAGGTGAAATCATGGAAAAATGCGGAACAACAACCCCGAGCAAGGATGTGGCTATATTTAGGGGAAGGGGTCTCGGGACGTGTGAACCATGGGTAAGCCACCCATCAAATAGTAAACTTATGTAAATTAAGACAAATGTATGTAAAATTTATTGTAGGTTTGTCAAAAATCCAGCCGTCCAGGTCCTGGGAAGATATGTTATTCCACATTGCTGAGAGTATATACGGGTATATTAAGATTGCTAGAAACATTCCAAAAACAAAAGAAATAATCGTGCGCCACCATGTGGCGCACGCCGTCCGTTATGGGTTAAGGGAACGAGCAAGCAGGTGGAGCAACTGGTGCTTGGTGGCTATACCTCAGTGGATTAGTAAGAGAGGGGGAAATCATAAGGCCGAGTTTCTGTATAGTATTATCTACTAAAAGCCTCAACTTTGCGATATCCGAAGCAAGTTTATCCAGCTGTAAGCAGTAGGTGTCTGCGCCGGCAGTGGTGGTATTGTTTGAAGTCTGTGATGAAGCAATCCTACAATCGGAGAGCGGAACCTACTCCGGGTGAAGTTCACCTATTGGGGCTCGTTGTCGCTGCTGAGCTGCACGTTCCCACTGACGCACACCTCAACCCCAGTGACCCCTTGTCAAGCCGATCGAAACAACGGCTTTTATGCAGCAAACTTTGTGAGATGATCACACGTGTCCTTCGAGCCACCTCGTCCAACTCGTGAGAATTCCATCTTCCCAGCGTGTACAATTTCTCCATGGCTCAGAGGGAACGACACATGGTGCACTGGGAGGACTGAAGGTCTACTGCAGTTTGACGGGTACTGGTACCGGGTTGCCTTCAAGAAGCTCTTGCATGCGTTCAATATCTACGGCCATTGGGTGTCCAAAACATGGTCGGTCTTCAGGGTTATAGTCGCCCTGGCGAAGCTTCCCGAACCACTTTCAATAGATATTCTCATTAGCGAGTCTGGTCCTCCAGATACACAAATATTCCGACAGGCTCCTCTTGCTGAGTGCCCCAGGCGGAACTCGTAAAATAGACAGTGACGAACATGTGTTGAAGAGAACGGCATTATTTCTCCCAAAAGACGAGTACTGACGGTCAAATTTCGTAATATGAAAGGACACTTAGGTCGCCACATACTGCTCTGCGGGGAACAACACAAACCTTTTCTGGGAAAATGGGTCTGAAGAAATCGGCAATTCCTTACGACCAGCCTAATATAATACTTATGGGGTCTAATCCAATTATATTGGGGCATCCTATGCAGCTTATCGGCATCACTATGGGCCAGCTTCTCGGCGAACTGTGTGGAACTCTAACATCCTGCACTTTTTCACGCACGTTCAAGGTGACTGCCCTCATCCCCCGTTGTAGACTGGGCTGCTACTCCTCTGGTCGAGTACCCGTGAGCTTTCTTGTAAATGATCATTACCCCCCCCCCCTAATTAGGAGTAGACTCCTACTTCTTGTGTTATTCGGTTAAGTGACGTCATTCTCCAAAGGACAGACAGGATTCGAATTGACGCTTACGTCGCCTTTGGCAAGAGTTATCTCCAAATCTGGAAACTCAATATTCTCACGTGTACAGTTACACCTGTCATCAAGAACAGTCCCAAGAAGCTGTTTTTTTTAGAAGAAGAAGCCAGGACGGAAGTTAAGTGTTTCTAATCGATCCTCGCGACAAGGCCCAAAACTTTAGATGGCAGAATGCCTGACGCGCACGACGCGTGAGGCTATTGTCGATGCCGTGAGTGCTGTCCCGTGTCACCTGTAACTCCTTATTGCCACAATCTCCTGTGATAATTATCAGTGTCCAAAGACCGGCGAAGTGAAAAAAAACTTTACAATATGAAAATTTATTCAAAGAAAACATTTAGAAAATGTCAAAATCAAAGGCAATCAATTCATACAATGAGATACCCTTATTCATGTAAGGAAAGAGTGAAAGTATCGCTTCGTGAAATTCTGTTAATACAGTAAACATACTTCAAGCTCTATAATCGGCAGATTAACAAGCTGAAGAAAATCGATAAATTTTCACATAGATAACGTCAATGCGCGCATAAATAAATCAATAAATCAATAGAATAGAAATTGAGATGACGAGAGCTGTGACCTGAACCTAGCATGGAATTGAGCGTAATATCAGATGAACCACATATCTTGAACACAATGTGGCTAAGCCTGTTATCATAGAGACACCACCTTACCGACCTCTTTGTCACATGTTCGAGGCAAATACTGATGGGAAATCCTCCCTGAGGAGTGTTTGAAAAATACGAAACAAAATTGGAAAGAAGACCAGAGAATCGTATCACCGAAAGTGCACCAAACGAGAGGAACGTGGTCCAGTGGAGGACCAAGACTTCTTCTTGAGCAAACTGTATCCGTAACCAGGTTTGGGAATATCAAAACTGCCGTTTTCCTGGCTCGATATTCAAGGCCTGGATCGAACTGCTCTAACACGTACACCTGAAAGTACACCACAATACTATACAAGATGATCACACAAGTTTCATTCACTACATGCAATGATCGTCACAGGACATCCGCTACCAATATTTGAGTTGAAGGGTAATTAAATCAGGCGTGGCTCCCGCAAGGGTAGCTTCACACATGGCCGAGGCATATCCATGTAGGTATCTATGTGGGTTTGGGAAACCATCAAAAATAATTCCACCAACTGGTCAATGTACTTCAGGCCTGAAAAAGATATCACAAACCCAAATATCACCGAAATTTTCAAAAAAGTCAAGGTAAGGATCACGATAAGACCTAGTTGGATCGTGGTGAAAGCGGGGATGCGTAAATGTCGCAGTATCGAGTTGGAGAAGATGGAGAAGTGCGAACGGAGGTCGTAAAAGGGTCGTAAAAGTTGCCGTTCAGACGGCTTTTTGGCAATGGTTTCAAGAAGGTAGTCAAGAATGGCAAAATTGGTGGATTTGCCGCTTCATGGCTTACCCCTCGCTCGACGACCATTTTGGAGGAGAAATTGGGCAAAGCTGGGTATTAGAGGAGCCTTTATAAGACAGATGGCTGTGGATGGGGGCAGCAGCGAGACGTTCTTGAAGGGGGGGGGAGGAGAGGGAGTGCAAATTCCTGAAAAAGTGAGAACACGTGACAGCTGACCCTGGATGGGACTTCCTCCTTTGCCCGTTGGCTTGCGATATGGATGAGACAGAAACTAGCTGAGGGGTCGTTTGCACGTCTAATACCGATAAAAGCCGTTCTGCCAACAAACACGATGCTTGATTTACCGTGTTTATAGGGGAATGGGATACCGCTGCTCTTACTTGTTAGTGAAATACTTTTACAAAATGATAATCGAAGGATGCTGCTGCTAGGGACGGAGCACGGCGAAGGTGAGGCTCAGAAAGGATTAGCAAATCGAAACCTCACCTTACCCACTGAAAATCCGCAACTCGCTTCCTACGTTCCCTGACTACTGCTTCCACTGATGCATGCACTTCTATGTTGCACGCAGCCTTATCGTGATCCCTCGCAGTAACTTTTTTATTTTAAAATACATGTGCGAAGTTTTTGTGGACTTTTGGAATTCTTCGTAAATGAAACTTTTGGTGTCCCTTTATGTTTTACAACACTTGACTTTCATGAAACTGACAGAAGTAAAAGAAAAAAAACAACGGAAAAGATGAAAAGAACAAGCGGAACAGAAAAAATGTCGACTTTTGTTCTCCACAGTAGCGAAAGTAGTTTTGATGGCGCTTAGGCCATTCGCTAGATCATTAGATCGAATCCAAATGAAGCGGGTCAAGTTTCCTAAAGCAAAGTGTTCGGCTATTTCCTGTTTGACATGGGCAAATGAAAGTACTGACTTGAATGATGAACTTTGTTTGGTTCTACACTGTCTTCGTATGTATTTTTTTTTTATAATATTCGTTTGTTCGTTCTAAACTTGCGTCACTGAGTAGACTAAAATGCGCTAAAAGGACTGCGTATCTGTGTAAATATCAAATGCATGGCGCGTTTCACGCCGATGGCCGCCCATATGGGCTGCCAACAACATGCGCTCCTGGGACGATGGCAGCCCATATGGGCTGCCAACTGATAATCGCTTGCCAGGCGCTAGGAATGGACAGATAGGTGGGCAAACCTCGTAATCGAGTGTAAAATGCTTTTAAATTCCTTCACGGGGAAAGTGAATAAATGCTCTCTTTTCGTAACCACTATTTGTCGTTCTGATCGAAATCCTACTGTTATATGTTTAGATAATCTTTACGCATTGGACATTGCAGAAATTATTTTGTGACATTCATGTTTTTGTTCATTTACAAAACAAAATCTGCGGATTATGTGGTGAGGCGGCGGCGCCCACAAAATCGCGTCCGTCCCACGCGACCGAAAAGTGGAAAAGGGGCGTCGTCGTGAATGTGTTAAACAGAACTGATTCATAAGTAGTGCTTTGCTCATGATCAAGGCCATTTCCTGCAAGAATGACGAAGAACAAGAAGATTCGGCACGCATAAACTAACCCAGTTTTCCCTTCATTTCTTATCCCTGCTCCGTCCGTTCTTCCCTCTTGAGTGTTGGAAGTAATTAGCCTTCAACTTTACAACCTAAAACTCACATAATCGGAGCTCCTGATCCGGAGTTCAGCTGGAGGATTCGTGATCACGTATCGCTTCACTGACTCGGCGTTATCCTGATCGTGTAACCGATACAATCCGATACACAGCTGTCCGTACTTTTTTCAACGACGTTGTGATGTATCTGGCCGTAAGTTGTTGTGATGAAATGCTACAATTTATGAAAAGCAAAGCGAAATAGGATGATTGGAAATTATCGGCAACCCAAGGTCCTCGTAAAGGCGTTTCGGAATGTAGAGCGATCTGAGCAATTCGGCATCGATCACGGTTCGACAGTGTTTCCGGTGTACTGTAACCGCCTCGAAGACCAGCTCCTTCGGCGAGGTATCGATACATCCAACTCTCCGGGTGATTGGCACCGCCCGTCAACCAGGGTCGGATCAACGTCAAGCCGATAATCGTTTTTGAAATGATGTCTAGAATGTGGAAGCGTTATTTAGATATATTTGTATAAATGGACGAGTTTTTGCTCGCCAGAGGCGCCTCTGAGGTTCGCACTTGTGATTGAGAAGAAATGAGGCTTTGAATCGTTTATGATAGGAAATCGAAACATAAAAATTTTAATTATTTCCTACTCAAAAATAGGCACATTCCACGATCACCACTGCAGCTGCACTCGATCGGTAGGCGATAATCCAGCGAGGGCTAATCATTGTCACAGATGGTATACGGAAAATGATGTGCGATGTGGAATTCTATTAATTTTAATTAGTTAAATTCTTATTGATTCGCATACTTAAGATACAGCTAAGGTAATGTATCTGCTGGAATTAACTGATGGGTAAATTAATTCTGACTTCACTAAGAAGATAAAAAAATTCAATAATGATTTGTAGGCCACAGAAACTATTTCCTTCGCTGGGAAAGAAGACCTTATGATACATTCTGGGCGAGGGGGGGGTTTTTTTCACTTATCACGACCAGGCTCGAGTAGTACTGCGCTGGTGGGCTTGAACTTCATTTCGCATAGTACTTCATGAAAGCCTTGATGATCGGTTCATCCATTTCAAAAGCGATCTTTGCTTATTTGCTGACTAACTGCTGACTCTTTGCCTATTTGCTAAACTGTTGTTCGCTGAACTTCGCTATTTATCGATGGCAACATGATGCTATCACCGTAGCGCGATGGCCGAGTGGTTAAGGCGTTGGACTTAAGTTCCAATGGACGCAAGTCCTCGTGGGTTCGAACCCCACTCGCGCTAAAACTTTGCAAACATGAAATACGTGTGTTTTTCGAATATCACATCCAGCAAGGGATGCATGAACTTAGCAACTGTCATTGTACAATTAATGCACGCTCTCACAAACGCGTGCCATCTCATCGCGCCAAAAAGTAGTTGAAATATTATAAAAATAAAAATAAATAAATAAGTAAAAATATAAAGTATCACACAGTAAATATCCTTTGCTTCTTTCAGAAAATGAATATTATTTTTGAGAAAGAACACAGTGAACATCAACTTCGAGGTCAATGGTACAACAAATTATGTTGCGACCAGTTGAAGCAGAAATGAAACGTGAAACTAATCAGTGATGTTTTCTTCACAAGTTTGATTTTGTTTCGCAATTTTCAAAGGTGCTAACTTAGTTGGGGGGGGGGCACGCGGCGGCGCGGCAGTCTGCTCACCTGGGCTCTCTCGAGCGAGACAGTGTAAACTCGAACATTCCAGCTTTTCACGCATGTCAAGTGACTGCCCCCACCCCCACCCCCTAGACTGCTACACTCCCCCTGGCCCACGGATTTCCGAACATGCCAGGCGAGCAGACTGCCGCGCCGCCGCGTGCCCCCCCCCCAACTAAGTTAGCACCTTGTGAATACTAAAATGAGGAGCGCACAAAAATGGTTGAGCCCATTGGTGGAGTTCTTGTTACCTTCATTTTGTACGGATATAATATGTTTTGAATTAATTGAAAAAGGTGTGGTCGATGGGAGTAAATTTCGTTAAGAACAACACAATTCGAGAGTCAATAAAGTCACTTACGGTGCTCATTAGTGAATCAAGAACAGAAATTGCGAACGCCGTGCCACAGGCGAACGGTTGTGTCAAGTAGAGCTCTGTGTCTGGATCGTCATCGTCGTCTTGGTCAAGAAACTGCACGTTTGAGTCGTTAACTGAAATAGATGGAGCTTTGAATTAAAATCGAAGCCTGTAAGAAGCATCGGTGTTTGGGATTGACAAGGAATTCACAGTAGTTTAACCAGATCTACCTGATATTCAATTCGCGTTCATCATTAGCAGTAACTACAGCCTATGGTAATTAACAAACAGGAGGAGTTGAAGGCACATTCCGCGATGGTAGAAACGTGAGAAATATTGAATTGAAATATGAAACAATCGATGGTCTTGCCACTTTCAATCGAAATGCCGTGTGAAAAAAATAGGCGAACAAAAGTTTATGAAAGCGCCCTAGGCAAGCTAGCCACAGTTGTTCTATGGCTCCAGCGTATGGAGGACCGTGAGAAACAAACTTCCTAGAAACACTCACGCAAAACGTCGTTGAATTTTCATATAACAATAGTTCGCGCCGTGCCTAAGAATCCAAGTTCTGGGATAGAATAACCCACCACTAGCACACATGTGCCGTTGTTGCGGTCTTGAAAGTGCTCGACAATAGCGCTGGGGTCTTAGAACAAAGTCAGCACATTGACGAATAATCTTAGTAGTCGGACGATGATACATACGCACGCCCTAGCCATTACAAAGTCGCGATTACGCACGTAGCGGATGAAAGATATCAATATCCGGATAGATACAGTAGGTATGTCGCATTGATGCGATTGTGTTCAAAAACCCCCTGCTACGTCCTTTCCTCGCCCTCATTATCAACCGCTGTTATCTCACCAATTCGATCTAGGGTTGTTGCTTGAGGAGATCTGCAGATAGCTGTTATGAATCTTCCGCACACTCCTCAACATGTAGCATGACAAGGATCCATTTTTGGCTAAACCTCACGTTATTTTCGATGCACAGTTCACTACGACCTTTTACTATGCCTATAGTTGACGCCATGAATGAAACACACCACGTTTAACAAGTAAAAACTGCAGTTTCCAACAAAATGATTTTCACTCCTTTTTTGGCATTCAGAAGGCCATTTAGCGGAAATGGACCATAGATCTGTGTTCACTGCACCTGCCCCTATTTCATGCAAAAAACCGTTTTCAAAAAGCGCTCCACGCCCTGAACGACCTCCCCTCGTTCAGGCCGACACGGGAAAACTACAAATGGAAAAGACTATAACAAGGAGCGACTCAGAGAGATCTGATAGTGGGCCTCCGTGGTTGCCCGAGGTGCCTATAGCAAACAGAAGCGAGTCCAGCAAGCCTACGCGCAGTGGGGAATTTCCAGTTACCTTATCGTAGAAAAGTACCACTACGGTTTAACTTCACTTCGCCCTTAGTGGCGTGAATCGTAGATAGCCGCGAAGGCTAGTATGATGGTAAATTTCCGCCGGGTTAAAATTTTTTAACCCGTAATCGCTGTGACAAGTTGGGTTGAAATCGAAGTTTATCACTTTCAGGCTAATTTTGTGGTTCCTAGTCTAAAATAATCAGCTGAAAAAGCGTCGGTGGTGGTGTATATTTCCACTGCTTCGTTTACCTCAATTCTGACTTAAGGTGCTCGAGTCCCTGCCCATGAAAAACATGGATTCGGGCCTTCTTAGGAAGGGGCAAGAACGATTTTTATATCATCTGGGTGACGTGCCTTTCCCATTTTGTGCAGGTATTATTATTACTGGCTAATTAGACGCATATGCGGTATCTTGAGTTGATGCATCCTTCACATGACGTGGAATGAATTTCGTCGCATCCCTTCTCAACATGTGATGATGCAGGTAGTTGTGATCACTATAGACAACATACAAAGTTTCGTGCACAAGGACTCAGTTTCCAAGTGAAACAAACTACAAAAACCGCACTCCATGGACAATCAAAGGTAAGTGGCGCGGAGCCAAAGGCGGAGCATGGAAAGGTCCGCCTTGGGGCGGCTATGTGTCAGGCGACACAATGAAGAATCGGGTTCAAAGCGTGCGATTTTGGAGAGTAGAGACAAATCGATCGATAGAATTAGGCGCGGGTAGAAAAGTGCGGAGCGCATGTTAGTGCCAATAAATCAAAAGGGTCAATAAGCTGTTTCTAGTTTCAGCACTTCGTAAAACAAGTAGAAGCTTTTCCACCGCCAGTATTTGTGACAGATGTCCGGCGGGAATTTTAACGCGCGACAGTTCTTCTCATTTTTCGAATTGGTTCACCAGAACAAAGGCATTTTTTTTTGTTCTTTTCGTTCTTTATCGTGAAACAGCGCGACCTTTAAGTCTGATCACAAGTCAACTAGTAGTGGTTCGTATTCAGGCCATAGACCAGAGATCCAGTTGTTGGACTCCATCCTTAGGTTTCGAAAAACTCAGGGTAGCTTGTAATCTGCGACGACAAAAGATTTTGGCTTGTTGTTTTATATTCAGTACGTTCTTCTTTCGCAGATGCTCACTCAATGCGCACGGAATCCCATAATTTAGAAGCATCGAAGAATCTGAATCAGTTGGGCGTCCACTTTGTTGAGCTTGCAACATTGGGGGACGAAAGGTGCGATAAAAGGAATGAAAGATGAAGGAAATTTTCTCTAACCTCAGCAACAACGTCAAAAAACTTTTCATGGTAGAAAGGAAAATCATTACCTAGTTCAGTGATCATAGGAACGTTTGTGCCAAATCTTGCTCCTTTCTTCTGCATACTGATTGGACTTCCCAACGGACTACGATCACCACCACGTAGCGGAAAGAATCCAAGCGTATCATCGAACTGAAATATGCCGCGAATATTCTAAAAAATCTAATTTGATGTCAAATCGCTTTTTACTTCAATTTTATTTGATTTTCCCGTCATTTTCCAGACCGTGAAGATGCCACTCGATCTAGAAGTACTCGCCAATACGCTACACAGGAATAAAGCCTGTTCAGCCAGCCCAGCATTTCAATAATTCGGTCGTTGGTCTGTAAGGGGACTGGTGATCAGTGACTGCTGCTCACGAGTGATTCTTAAAGGCAGCGATTACGATAAAGAGGGAGCGCATCGGGGAAGCATATGCACCACACGAAGCAGTTACTTGGCTGCCAAGGAAGCGAGGTGTGGCGCTTTCACGACGAAAGGTGCGCTGGTTGCTGAGCAGGACTTCGAAAGCACTCCGCCCCCAAAAGCGATCCGCCCACTTGCTCACATTGGCTCAGTCCCAAGTGCTGCAAGTGGCTCACTTACTTGAATGTCCCCGCCCGAATGACATGAGCGCCAAATTTCATCCTTCCGGAGTCAGTAATTACAACTAGTGAAGCGTATAAACAAAAAGCTGCAAACGTCCGCTAGTCTCTACGAATTTGACAGAATTCGAATGCATGGCGAATCCTAGAGGATTGATCAGAGCCTACCACTATATACATTGTCCTTTACATGACTAATGGGTTTGGATAGATATTACAGTATAGGACACAGTCGCTACATCACGTCTTGCCACTCTTTAACCAAGAATACCATAGTTCTTCTAGTGGGAGAGTTGCGAAATTCCCACCTCAATGTTCATCTGGTGAAAGGTACTGACCTGCATGGCCTTGATATTCAGCGATGCTAAAATCGCCTCCTTATCGGCAAGCGTTGTGTCCTCAGTGTTCGGCACTCGAGCCGATATGATCACACATATCACAGAGATTAATATTAACCGCTCGTAAATCCGCTCGCGACAAAGGCGATCCCTAAATGTATTATTATCACAACTGTGGACACAGAGGGCAGCAAAAAAATAGAACAAGTCTAAGCGACGCTGGCTCATGCTAAATTAAGTAGTTGTATTGAGCTCCAATAGGACAATATAAATACACTATAGGGCATACGCGGATGCTAATATGAAAGTAACAAATAGGAACCATCCGACCTGAGAGAACTCCCTTACAGTGCCACCCCAATTCCAAACTGTTCCTTCAAAACTGTAGCGGCGCTTGAGGTAGGATTTCATGCCCCCATGTCGCTGCAGATCCGCTATAAGCCAGGTTTGTCATCCTAACAGGAAATGCTGTCGCACACGCAAAAATGGAGAATGACAATTGTGAATCTCACCCACAATATGCCAATGATCTTCCCATTTTAGACACCAGCCGTGCTCTGACACGTTGCTTCTAGATATGAGTGCCCTTCCCACAGCTTCCACTTTGATTAGATAAAAAAAAAAAAAATATTGCGCTTCGATAGATGTCTAATGCCCCCCCCAACCTACACCTTCACGTGGCGACGTCCAACAAAAACAGCCACTCTTCTATGGCGTGAGAGATTATCCCCTAGAGAAAAGAAGAGGAAGAAGAAGGAAGACCTTGAGACGGAACACCTAATCATTATGGCGGCGTGACTCTTTTGTCTTATCACCTTTTGTTTTGATGAATTTACATGTAAATCAAATAAAAGGAAACATACGTTTAAAATGGAGATCTTTCGGCAGATTGTAAAGCGTTTTCCATTCTTTCCGCAGATAATCCAAATCACCAACGATCACCACGTGTTTCAGCTCATGATAGTGGAAATTAGAGGCCCTGAACAAATTGAAAATGTTAAGGAAACACAACAGACGGGAAAAATACTAGTTCCATAATTAACTTCATTCAAGACAGAGCTCAGTGACAGAGCCCAAGTGATTTACCCAAAGAGTTACGCCAAACGGGCAACGAGCAAAACTCATACGAACAATAGTTTTAGTCATAATGGAAATAAGAGCAAATCGAAAACCATTCAAGTAAGTAGTCAGTGTCTTTATAATTAGCCTCTGATTAGTCACTCACCGTAGAGGCATAATAAAATTTCGTAAGCCAATTAAGGGTGAATCACGGTCAGCAAAAAGGCACACGACCACATGCCCGTTCAAAACCGTCATGGCAGCTTGGTGGCGTTCCTGAAAAAGATCACCTGTTCGTCCTCAATAACTTCTAATAGAGCGGTTCTTCTTTACCTCGGCTTTTCCGTGCACTCACATTTTACTTCCCATAAACCCGTAGCTGTTGCAGCCCCAGTAATATACATGACTACATCTCGAAGTATTTTTTAATACCCTGATTATATCTGATTCCACTCGCGTTACTAAGCATGCCACAAGCGGTCCTAGTGGTGAGAAGAGTATACATTTAGTATGACGTATATAGTAATTGATTTGATAGTTGACCCCTCTGATATTCTTATTGCGTAAGCTAGCTTTGGGATGCCTGAAACCAGACAACTGCTGGCGTTAGACGAAGAGGGCGAAAGTGGTGTCGAGGCTAATGGCACCACTGAACACCACTCGCACGGTCCCAGGATTAAATCTTGGATCTTCAATCAAGCCTTCCATACCTCCTGGCTTTATAATTAGCCTTAGTCTTGTTCGCAGCGTTCACTTTACATGGCTGCCCCTGCAAGTCATTGTAGGGCCGAATCGCTTTCAAAATGCCAGTTTGAATCCGAATGGAGGCGGTATTCGTGGCGCATCTAGAGGGAATGGCCAACACAGGATACTTCATGCTTTTACTCTTTCGAAACGGAAAAAAACGGAAGGTGACGGCGAGAGCGTAGACTCAGTGTTTGTACCAAGGGAAGTAAGGAATCTCAGAAGTAAGGAATAAAATGTTCGGACACAGTGGATACTGAAGCTCAGAAAATCATGAGATTTGAATCTTATTTGTCAAAATATGCAGAGGCGTACATGAGGTGGGCAGCGGATACATTGCTGGGTGATATCCAGCAAGCACCAATTTTTACAAATGAAGCCCTTTTACTAGTTAGCGACAACGTCGACAGTCGTTTGTCAGGTATGGAAACAGGATGCCCGACAGGAGGCCCATCGCGCGCAAGCAAGGCAGAGTCAGCGGACGAGTAGCAGCGCGTGATGACGATGAGGACGTACAGTGGCCCATTCTATTTAACTTGACGTGAATCGCTAAAGTACGCGCTGCGACTCGTCTGACCGCGCGACGGGCCTCCTGTCAGGTACCCTGTGGAAACAGCATAAA